GGCAGACCCTAAGCTGCAGCATCGGGACACCGCCCGGCCCTAGGGGCCCCCGGGGCGGGACTGACGCTGCCTCTCTGTGTCCCCGTGCCCCGCCGGGCGCAGGCCTGCGGAAGGTGATGGTGAGGGCTCACCGGCAGGCCTGGTGCTGGCAAGACGAGTGGTACGGGCTGAGCATGGAGAACATCCGGGAGCTGGAGAAGGAGGCGCAGCTCATGCTGTCCCGCAAGATGGCCCAGTTCAGCAAGGACGACGAGGAGGCCGCAGAGCTGGCCGAGAGCGAGGCCGGCCAGGCCCAGCCCCCCGGGGAGCCCCCCCAGCCCAGCGGCGGCGGGGAGCCCCTGGCCGGCCGGGGCCTGAAGAAGCAGTGGTCCACGTCCTCCAAATCGTCTCGGTCGTCCAAGCGGGGAGGTGAGTGTGCCATGCCACCCCGGCCTCACAGGGTCCCTGCCCTCTGCTCATCCACCCCGGTGACAGCGCGCGGCCATGCGCGAGGCAGCCCCATGGAGCCAGGTGCTTCCAGCTCCAAGAACAGGCTCTTGTTCTCAGACCTGGGGGCTGCAGAAATCAGACCCCTCTCCTGCTGGTAGGAGCCACCCAGGGCGTCCCCCCACCCAGAGGCACCGTCACAGGCCAGCTCAGATAGACAAGCTGGCCACGTGGGAACCCTGCCCTAACCTCTCCCAGCACACAGCCAGGGTCCCTGGAGGAGAGGGGTCTGGGTGGGGACCCCCCAGCACACTGAACAGAGGTCTCTAAGCCGAGGGAGAACCAGGCCCGAGGAGCCTGCAAGGCTTCAGATCCTGAGAAAGGCCTGCTGTGGCTGTTTTGAAAAATCAACGTATTTCATGTAAGGCCAGGAGTCCCCTCCGCAAATCTGGCTTTTCCCACAGCGGGCTTGATTGTCCTCGTGCTGACGGAATCTGTGCAAATAGATGCACCAATATTTTTTACCTCACTTCCTGCTACTGCCCTGTGTACCCGTCTGTCCCCTGCCACAGGACAATTTAAGGAGCTCACTCCCCGTAGGCCCAGGAGTGAGCCCAGGCCTCTGTGACGCACGTCCCTACCTGCCGCGGCCGTGTCCTCCCTGGACAGGACCACGCTGTGCCGGGCGGGCTGGGAGGGGACCATCTCGAAAGTTCCAGAAGCGTCCGCCGGGATGAGTCAGGGCCCCTCGTTTCTACACCTCGTTCTCTTCCCAGCCCTCCTGGCCCTTGCTCCGGCAACGTCACCCCCGCCTGCCCTCCGCCCCTCAGCCCTGTCCCGCGGGGCGGTCCCTGAGTCGGGGGTTTTGCCTTCCAGCGAGTCCTTCCCGCCACAGCATCTCAGAGTGGAGGATGCAGAGCATCGCCCGGGACTCAGACGAGAGCTCGGACGACGAGTTCTTCGATGCTCACGGTAGGCGGGCTCCTGGAGCACGTGGGGCGCCTCCCCAGGAGAGGTGGCAGGCCTTAAAGAATCGGGGGTGATGCAGATTGAAGTGACAATTACCTGTGGAATGTCCTAGGTGAACATACCGTGCGAGGGACAGGGGAGGAGAGCGAAGTCACCGGTAGTCTGGGGTCTGGGGTTCACCCTAACCAGGTGTTGGGACTTGGGCCTGGCGGGTGGGGACCGTTCTCTCGATCCCCCCAGAAATGGATTGACAGCAAGACAGAGGCTTTTTCCATGTGTGACTTTATTTCCACAAGAAGCTTAATAAAAGCATAATTTCTTATAATTTTCTAATTACTTTTTCCTTGGTTAAATTAATACCCACCTAATGTATAAACTTTAGAAAAGGCAAACAAGCAGAAAATATGCAAAGTGCCTGTTTTCCCACTGATCCCCAGAGAAGCACAGTGAGCAGACAGCCGCTCCCCACCTCGGCTGATACGGGTTTCCAGTTTGCAATTTGTGAGGCAAGACGTAGGCTCAGTAAGGGACAGGGACAGGGACAGGGACCTGCCCACGGGCACCCAGCAGGGCAGAGGCAGGGCCGAAGCCCTCTCCCGCCACCATGGCTTGAAGCGGGCAGACGAGCCACCTAATTGTGGCGTCTTAGTTGACTGGCCCGCCCCTAAGAGAAAAAATCGGGGGCGTCAGTGGCCAGACGAAAGGGAAGTGCCTGGTCTGGTCTTGGGGCGGGGACCTGGAACAGGTGACAAACAGTTCTTGAGCCGGCCTCTGCACCTGGGGCCGCCCTGAGGGTGGCTTTGGGGATCCCACCTCCCAAGCCAGGCTGAGAGACTGAGCCCCTCCTGGCTCCGTGTCCTGGACGTGAGGAAAATACCCTCGAACGTAGAAACTTCAGAATGAGCCAGAAAAGAGAAGAGACGGCAGGGCCTGGGGAAGCCAGAGCAGCAGCATCCTAGGGAAACTGGCCCAGCGACCCATTGCGTGGCTGGAGGAGGGACCGGCACGTGCCAGGGCCCAGACAGCTGCCCCTGACCCAGTGGTCCTGGGTGGACGTTCGCAGAAAAGCAGAAGCGGGAGTCACGAACGGAAGTGCTCAGGGCGGTGTTTCTCGCTAAGCCGTGCTCGTGTGGGTGCTGATCCCACGAGGGGGGGACATCAGCTGATGAGCAGAGAAACGAGGTGTGGGCCATCCGCCCGGGGCACAGGCTTCAGGTGTGAAACGCTGTAACTAGGATGAACCTCGAAAGCATGGTGCTGAGTGAAAGAAGCCAGACACAAATGGACACGTGTCGTGTGATCCCATTTCTAGGAAAGGCCCAGAGCAGGCAAATCCGTAGACAGGAAGTAGATTGGTGGATGCCAGGGGCTGAGGGAGTGGGGTGCGGAGTGACTGACTGCCTGGCGGGTGTGGGAAATCTGCTGGAATGAGACAGAAGAGATGGTTACACAGCCCTGTGAATGGACCAGGTGCGACTTTGAAATGGTTTAAATGGTGAATTTCACGGTATGCGAATGTTACCGCAGTTATTTTAAAAAGGTCGGAGGGTACCTTCGTGGGCGTGCGGCTGCACGTTCCCCCTGTTCAGGGAGGGAGAAGGGAGAGCGCGGAGGGGCCCGCAGGCCGGAGAAGCGTGGGAGTCCCCAGAGCTCCCACTCGGGGGCCCCCCAGCCCCGCCCCTGGGCAGTGTACCGAAGCCCCCTCTCCTCCCCAGAGGACCTGTCTGATTCAGAGGAACCGTTCCCCAAGGACATCACCAAGTGGAACTCCGATGACCTTATGGACAAAATTGAAAGCCCCGAGCCAGAGGACACGCAGGGTGACTAGGCAGTGCTGGGACCTCCCCTCCCCGCTAACCCAGCTCCTGCTCAGTGCTGGGCATTGGGGGTGGGTGGGGTGGGGACACCTTGGGTCGCAGCCTCCGTCCGGTGGGCCTGGGGCTGCCCACTGCCCCGTGCTCACGGCGCCCACCACTTCTGTGTTGCAGACGGTCTGTACCGCCAGAGCGCCCCCGCGTTCAGGGTGGACCCGCTGAACATCATCGAGGTGGGTGCCCGAGTGGAATGGGGCCAGGGACTGTGCAGCCAGGGGTCCCCAGGGCTGCCAGGGGAAGGGGCAAGGAGCAAAGGACCGGTCCCAGTCCCAAGGGGACTGCGAAGGCAGAACTTCGCACCCACAGCCTCGCGTCGGCACCGGCCTGGGCCCCGAGGGAGAGAGGCCTGGGGCCACCCCTCTGAGGTCAGCAGGGACTGTAGACAGCCCCCAAGGAAGGACCTGACCCAGCTCCGCCCCGGGAAAGTAACATGAGAAACTTACAGTCTTCAGAACAAAAATAAGAAATTCACCCTGTGCCTCCTTTCTGCAGTGTTTGCAGAGAAAAATGTGGACAGGGAGGAAGCAAAGCCATCTGGCAAAGTGACGTGGCCGGTGGCCACCGCCCCACTGGGGACAGGGGGGCCCTCGGTGCCCAGAGCAGGTGTCTTGGCGGAGCGCCTGCGTCTGCCTCAGGGTGCTCTGCGTGGACCTCACGCCCCTTCTCCTCCCCCAGCCGTGGGTGATCAGAGCTGTCTGCACTGGAGTCAGGGACTGGGGACAGGGGCCGGGGCCGGGCGGGGCTGTTACCCGCCGCAGTCACTGCCCTGCCCTGGCCTCCAGCTGCCCAGGGTGGACACGGCCCTCAGGACTATGGACTGGGGGGATGGGAGCTTCCTCACTGCCCTCCCCTTTTGGGGTTTTCTGCTTTGAGGTCTGAGGTCCCCCAGGCTTTTCTAGAAGGGTACCTGGGACCAGGGGCATTGATCTCCAGTTGCTGGTTAACGGCGAGGAAGCAGCCGGAGCCTGCTCCCCAGGTGCATCGCACACAGCTCCGAAGGCCAGTGGGCGGGTGGGGAGAGGAAGCCTGGGCTAGGGGACCGCCGAGCGGTGTGCATTCCAACCCAGCACGGTCCTGGGGGCGTAAAGTCAGGTCCCTTTGCTTGCAAAACCCCCACACCGGAGCCTCCTGCCCCAGCCTTGCGGGAGTGGGGCGGCTCCACAGAGACACTGAGGACCCCCTGGCTTTCCAAGGCCTGTAGTCCCGCCTCCCATAAGCTCTGCTCCCACACATGGTGGCTCTGTCCTGGTCTGTGGTCTGGGTGGCCGGTGGCCTTGGCCTGCTCTGGGCCATGAGTTCATTCCTGTCTGGCCGGCCGCAGTGGTGGGCAGTCCTCGAATGGGGCAGGTGTCACTCCCCAAGCTCT